GTACTAGATCCTGCCTATTTATTTTAGAAAACTGTATTAATGAATCAATTATTTATGATCAGCTACTTAGGGTTACTTCTGCCATATGTAACAGTATTTAATGAACCCCTGTGGTAATTGCAATGGAGATAATAATGAAAAGGACAACGTAGGCAGTCACAAAACAGAGAACACGTTGAGGCTCATGAAGTGGTGAATATAGTTGTAGTCTAGTGGAACCTAGTGAGCAGTATGTAAAAAGCCCCCGAAGACCAAAAAGCAATGAAGCCTGTAGGCTTTTTATCTCCTACCAAATCTGAAAATTTAGGTTTCTTTTTAGATGAGCTCGGTGATAGCATAGAGGCAAGATGCTGTTGTAGGAGATAGAAAGAACAGGCTTTACGGGAAGGGAGATGTTTTATCTTTTTATCTTTTTTCTTTTTCTGCTTATAAGAAGCATGCACCATCATCATTTTCTTTGTCTTTATTTTATTCATTATACAACGAGCACATCACGCTTATCTTTTCTTATATTTAGTCCAACCTACGTACATGTGTTGCCACTCCTTGTACCTCTCTGTGGTTTTATTACTCTGGCAAGCATGAATTTATTAGTTCAGCAATTGTAGTAAACCTTTTTAGATGCCTGTGACTGTTTCTGCTGTTAAGTGCTCATATAAAAGTGCTCAAAGAAAAGTCTACTCAAATATTATGATACTGGTTGTTGATAAAGACCTTGTAGCTTATTATAAAACCGCAATAGGTCTATTGGCTTGTACCTGCAAAAGTACATTCATGGCTTTTAGTCCAGTCAAGAGTAAAACATCCTTCGTGCTTATGTGCTTACCGCTGCCACTAATGAAATGCTCGTGGCTGCTTTTGTGATAAGCTCGGTGGAGTAGTGGAGAAGGTCTGGGTACCTTCTGTACAGCAGAGAAGCTTCTGCGAGCACCGTTATTATTTTAGGATTGATGCAAACGGTCTTTCAAAGATTTTGTTTCATATGCTGACAAAGTAAAAGGAACTGCAGGGAGCATGTTAAGGGCAGGATTCTTCTCAGTCTGAGATGTTTACAGTGGAGGCTTCTAGAGCTTAACGGATCACCCAGGGCCTTTTATTATCGTTGAAGAGGAACTGGTGGTTTTGGGGTACACTTAAACTGGTTTTAGACATCTACTTTAGGACAAGTGGAATCACATCCTAGGATACCTGGGCTCTTTTGGTTTTAGCTGCGTTGATGACAACGATAGCTCTGCATCTGTGTTGTGGACGTCCAGGTTCAGTGAGATAAGCCAGGAGATGGTGAAGTCCCAAAACCCAGTCCTGCGGAGCCTTGGCGCTACGTGGGCACGTGCCCTGGTGGCTGCCCTCCTTGTGGGTCTGGTGACCCTTTGATGTGTAAGTAGAATTGGCTGTATTTCCAAGCCTGAGAGGGGACTCTGAGGCATAATTAAGGCATACGGGGAAAACTGACATTTGGAAATAGAACAGTCCGTTGCAATAAAAGTCACGCCAAGAGGAGCAGGCTCCTTTCTCCAGTAGCTCAGGAAAGGAGAATTTTCTCAGAGTGTGAGGAGTGCAGGTGAGTGCTCTCTGTGCAAGGTGGTTCTCATGAGATATCCTGCTGCATCTCTAGAACTTGTCTTGGCACAGGGTGGTAAGCTCTCCTGGAGTGGGAGGACTCTCACATTTTAAAACTGTCACTTGGCAGTAAACTGGGACAACCAGAATAAAAACTGATCTAAGAGTGTGCACCTCCTTTGCAAAGGGGAGCCCTAGGCTGCTGCCCTGCTCTGAGAACTATTTCTACATTTCATGCAGTGCTCAGTGTGTTTGCTCCTATGTGTTCCTTCTCCCAATTAGGCGATTTAATTGCCTCACTACAAAGTACACGCCTTACTGCTTCCCTCTGACCAATGCCTCCTCCCAGGCTGAAGAAGATTAAGTCGTACATAAGCCTTGGGCTGTGATTCTGCACCACAGAGGATGTTAAAAGTAAATCTTTTTTACTGTTTGCCTTTATCTCTCCTGGTGTGGCGTGCCTTTTGGCACTCAGAATGACAACGATTAGGAATTTGTTCCCAGTAATGAATGCAGTGTATTAACTCCCTGGTTAATGCCAAGTAGAACAAGGAGTGTGCTTGCCTCCTTGCTCACTTGCTGACGTCTGAGAAAGGTGGCTACATACCCTTGGTGTTCAATTCTTGCTAAAATTGCAAATATCCAGTATGAAGGTTGGTAAGCTGTTTGGAGGGCTAAGGGATGACTATAATACATGCAGGATGAAAATAACTTGAGATTAATTTCTTTCTATAACTCAGCTCTGGCAACATTCTGTGAAGGAACTTTAATACATCGCCTTTGTTGTATGTAAAATCTGTTTTGTTAAAAATAGGACAAAGTTATAATAAGATTTGATCCCCCTGACTGGTGCACTGTAAAGAAGGGGCCAGGCACTAAACTGGTGGTGCTCAAATCAGCAAAAAAAGCGAGTTAGCTTCCCTGACATGAAGGGAACGAATTTTTAGGAAGCCGTTCATTGATATCTGACAAACAGCTTGAAAGGGATGCCAAACCCTCAGGGTTTCTGTTATGAGCCTTAAAACACATTTGCATATTTTTTGCATAGAAACAGGAGCTCTCTCTCTGTTGCCAAAGTGCAGAACTAAAAGGATGCAAAACCTCTATCTAGTCCAAAGGGCTCCGAGGAGGAACTTCATAATCAGAATTCAAATGCGTGCAACAGATTAGGAAAATGACTTCAAATGGGATTGCAGCCGTATCTGAGAGCCCCACAAATCCAGAGCACATTGGTAAGCAGAACACTACCTGCGCTGCCATTAAAATGCTTGTTTTCTTCTGCGGGCATTTCTCATGTGAAAAATAGCTCACTGACGTCAACTCATCATACAGTTTGATGGTGCTTAAGGTGCTGCTGCTTAGTTTTCTCAATCCCAAATGCTTTTTTTTTTCTGATGCTTTCGATTTCCCTTTCTCAGACTGAAAATAGTATCATCATGAATAGGACCAGAGTGATGGAGGAATAAATCAATGATGGTCCTCCGCATGCAGCTAGAGCACCCAGGGGTCCGGTTTGTTACCACTTTAGTGCCCTTCCTAGCTATACCATTTACTGTGAGTTGTGGTGGATTGAACTGGGAGTCCCCGAGCCTCGAAAGGACTGCAGGGTACCTTGCCAGGATGGGCAGCTCTGCTGGAAGCGCAGAATCTCTGACAGTGTGAACTGGTCTGGTTTAACTCCAGCTGGTGGGCTTCAGCTGGGAGTTCGACTGGGAAATGTCAGCGTGCGTGGGCTGCTCCACACGTAGATACGGTTACGCTGGCATCCCTGGTGCTGCTCTTGTGCCTGCCTTTTTCACTGAGTGCTTTCCTCTTGGGATTCCAAATCTCGTTCTTTCCTTTCATTAAGGGAAAGTGCTTTCGAAGACAACAAAGCATTTAGGGCCAAGATTGCGCTTAATGTGCAGGTAACATGTTGTTGGCAATATCTTCCATCATGGAGGCTAACTCTGCTTTTATCATTTTGAGGAGAGGAAGCTGATGACTGCGGAGGAATTCATGGTGGGTGAAAATGCCATAGAATTTTCAGCATATAAATTTACTCTCTGGTCATCCACCCAGCCAGGCAGTAACGTGGGTGGAGTTCTCCTTACATTAACGGAGAGTGGCCGTTTAAATTTCCTAAGCATCAAGCTAACAATAGACTTCCATTGCGTGTACATGGCACTGCCATTGATCTGATTGATTGTGGGTTGCAGTGGTCGATGTGGTCAGTGACGTGTGAGTGAAGAGGAAAGGCACAGCTAACTCTGTCCATGAATGTCTATATTAGTCAGGGCTGTCCTTGAAATAAAGCGCCAGTAAGAAAATCAGTGTTGATGACAGCCCACAATGATCTTGATGCTAGAAAAGAAATAAATTATCTGTGACTCAAGTTATGGATTTCACGCAACACTAATGGGTTTTTAAAACTGCAGAAGAAGATTAGTATTGTATGTTTTTAGAGATCTGACTCTGCTTCTGTATGGTGGGACTTGATATCTCTTTACCATTCATTTCCAAGGCTCACGTGACAGTAGCGTAGGTGAAAGAGGTTTGAAACACAAAGAGTGTACATGGCTTCACATCACTGAATTGTGCTGAGGACTAGACGGCAGGGAATGTCTTTCAGTAGCTCGGGAGAAATGCTTTTGCCAAGTCTGTGGGATTGGAGTCAAGTCGGGAGCATTAGACGTGTCTCCTGCCTCTTGGAAAGCACGAGCAACGTGCTGCTCTGCTGAACAGAAGCTCAGGTTTGACGAGTTCCCTGGTTTTGTGCCTTGTCTGCAGCCTTTGAGGGGAATAACCCAGCTTTCCCGGGAAAGGGAGGAGGAGATTCCTGTGCAGGACATCCCGTAGCGAGGTGAGGGTGCTCCCCAGGGGGGGAATATGAAGGAGACTGAGTCTGAGCTGGGGGTCTGCGTGGGGCTGGACCAGTGGAGCAGAGGGGATACCGGGATGGCAGCTGTTCAAGGCACCTGCAGAAGCAAAACCGATCACGTTTCCAATTTTTGCAAATAAAATTATTGCCTAAGATATACGGGTCTCGAAATTGAAATCCACATGTGGATCTGGGTCCTACAGTCGGGCAGAGCTGCTGAAGCCGATGCAAATCAAAAGACTGTGGCTTCGGTGTGTAAAAGCATTAAAGCATTATTCTGAAGAGCAGACAAAAATGGGTTTGCTTCACAAAGGCAGTCTTCTGGTAAAGGTAATTTGAAAATATATTCCATGTTCAGTGAAATTCTTGTCTTAGCTTCTTGAAATAAAAATCATGAAACAATTATCCTGCTTTCTACAATGTCAGTGTAGTCTAAGGGCCAGCGTTTCTATAGAAATATATTTTTGTAGCAATTTTAGAAGCACTGTTTTCAATACAAACAAGTATCTTTTTTTCAATAAATACAGAAAATGTTTTCACCTTGGTTCCCATAATTTTGTTTGTTTCCAGGAGAGGCAAAATGTCAGACAAAAGTGATTTAAAAGCGGAACTCGAGCGCAAAAAGCAGCGTTTGGCTCAGATAAGAGAAGAAAAGAAACGGAAGGAGGAAGAAAGGAAGAAGAAAGAGGTAAATATGCAAGAGCACCTTTTAGAGAGCTCATACTTGCAGAAGGGGCTTGCTGAGGTTTTGACATCTCAGTATTGGATACCCCAAGGTATCTATCGTGTGGAATGAGATCCTCGAACGCACATCAGTCTAACCTTAAAATCAAAATGGTTATTTTTAGTCAAGGAAGTTGAGGTGAGGGAATTGCCTTTAAAACCAGTGCACTCTCAGATGACAACAGTTTGGACAGCGTGATGTGGATGTGTGTGTGGAAAGAAAAATTGATTTGCCACAAAGCTTTTTCCTGGGCTGTCCTTCAAGGGAAAGGGAGTGGAGAGCGGGGAAAGACAGAGGTCTCGCATTTTTTTCAAGCCATTATGACCTAAATGTGTATTTTTGTACTCTGAAGACTAGTTTGATTACTAGCTAAGGTAAGATTCACAATTATTATTCTCCAGTAAAGTAAAGCATAATTGCAATTGTGTTTTCATGTTCTGGCATGGATGCATCTCTCAGTTCTGTTAAAGTTTGATTGACATATTAGTTTATTTGTCCTTGACAATATGCATTAGGTTTCTCATTAAGGGATTTGTACTTCTCTTTATTCAGTCGCTTAGTGGAACAGAGGTGAGAATTGACAGGGAGTGGATATTCATTTTCATGCAAAGTCAGAGAAGCATTAAGTGATTATGTTTCCTTTCCTTCAAATGTCAACACTTACTATAGTTTAAAGCACCTGTTATCCTTTACTAATAACTGGTTTCCTTTTAAACTGACACTTTAATATTGTACATGAATTTCACAGAATTACCGTGGAAATGGGATGTGATCCAAGAAATCAGTGTTCTAGTTTCAGCTGGCTTTTTAATCTTTTTTTCATTTGAGCCATTTTGGTGCAGCAGCCCCCACACCCCCCCATGAGGCTCCCGGAGTCACTAGAGAGCCCTCTGTGAGCAGAACTTTTAAAACGTTGACATTTCCAGTGTTCATTACCAGCCTGTTAATGAACTGGAGGGAAGGAAGCCAAGCTAATGGCTCCAGGAAGCTATTAAGTCCTTTCCTTTGTGCCCTGCCCCTGATTTTACGCCTTGTGGAGATCTTGTGGCGGATGGAACTTTCCACTGGCCCCAACAGCCAGATCCAGCTTGGGACACCCAGCTCCACGGAAGATGCAGGGATGTCCGTCTGGGGTGCCATAAACGCGGTGCCCTGCCATGCCTGACGCCCCCAGGAGTGGAGCTTCATGTTCTCTGAGGTGCTTTGCTGTGTCCACTGGCGCAGGAGGATTGTCTGCGACGCTGCGTACTGTGACATACTTCGGGCCAGCTCAGGGGAAGAGCTGAACGCAGGGATATTCCTGCCCTTTATCTGTAAAAGCAATATTCTTCTGCACCCTGGCCACGTGCAAACTGGAGAGCATGGGGATGCTTCTGAACTTCAAGGTTTTATGCTGTGCCCACAGCAACGTCAACCCCAGGCTGAGGCACTGTGCGAGTCCTCGGAGCCCCACGCTGTGGTTTCAGCAGAAAGGAAAACCTCTCTGGGTGGAGGCTAGATACTTCCAGCTGATTTAGAAGCAACCTTAGGGCCCAAAGGATAGAGGCAGACGCCTCCAGGCATTCTCGCCAAGAACCCTGCTGGGATTGCTTTGTTTAAGACATGACAGACTGGTAGACAGGGCCACTTGCATTTTGTTCTACTTGCGTTACTGGTTACTGCACTGGACTATAAAGTGGGACATGGGTTCAGTTCCCTCACCTGCCTGGGAGCAGGGCTGCACGCCTGTTTCTTTCAACTGAGTGCTCAAAGCACTAGGCTGGGGTGTTTGTGTTTTCCTTCCACCCTGCTAAACTGATGGCTGTTGAATTACCTGTAAGGGATTCTGGCTAATGCAGGTGTTCCTCCTCCTGTTTCTAGGTCCCAGTAGACCAGAGAGGGAGGAGACTAATGTGTAGATGCTCCAAGGAGGTATAAATATCTTAAGCACAGAGGGAGGGATCTTGTGAACAATTAGTTTTGGCTTTTGGTGCTCAGGGCTGCCAAAATCCTATTTTAGACATGTTTGTCCTTTCCTTTGCTCCTGTTAGATACTGGTTTATGAGAAAGTACTTTTATTGCCAAAAAGTGCTTGGGACCTGCTGTAGGTCTTTAAGCTGTGTCACTGAAGTCCGATGGAATTTTATTTCTTGATCCTGGAGGAAGCAAGAAGGCACCATTTCTATTCAGTGACGATATCTGTTATTCTATGATCAGCTTTTACATTAGCTGAGTAAGTTGCATCTGATGAGTGAGAGGCAGAGGATTTCCATTGGTGTGCTGTAAAGATCCTTGCAAAGATCAGTTTTCCCATTCATTCAGGGAAAAATATTGTTAGGGATACATACGATGTAAATTATCTAAGTTATAAATTATCAAAACATATCTAAGTGAATTTAAAACTGTACATAAGCAGTGAGTGGTGCATATAAACATTTTCCACACAATTTTTAGACCTGATCATATGGGAATGAAACTTTTCTCTTTTGTTGTGTTTCAACTCAGGCAGATCTACAGCAAAAGAAGGAGCCGGCTCAGGAAGATTCCGACCTAGATCGCAAAAGAAGAGAGACAGAAGCTTTGTTACAGAGCATTGGTATATCCCCAGAACCACCTCTAGGTATTTGAGAGAAGTGCACTGGAAAGCATTCAGCTCTGCTGCAATGAGTGCATCCTTTCTACTAAAGCATGCTTGGCTTTATTTATTTGGGTTTTTTTTAATTTTTTGGCTGTATTACTGAAGTGAACTCTTCTGTTTGAATGCCTGCCATACCATTCACATACACCAGCTCATGGCATTTTGAGTACTTGTCGTTGCCAAAAACATCTGTTTCATTTCTTCAAGAACTTTTTGTGAACTTAAGGCAGGTTGGTTTTGCAGACCAGAAATGATTTCTTTTCTGATGGATTGTTTTATCCTCTCTCCCATCTATCTGATGACCCACAAAATATTACTCTAAATGATATACTTCATTAGCCTCAAGTTTGTTTCAAAAATACCGATTAAGCATTTGCTAAGGGAGGAGGAGCATAATCACGTGGGACCCCTCATTGATTTTCTTTTAAAATCAAGCAAAACTGGAGAGGGGAAAGAAAAAGACAAATCACAAAGAGCAAAAAGCTTCTCATCAGATCATTATTGGGGATGTCAGCCCTGGTTTCATGTGCTCCACCTCTTTTTTGGTTTTGATGTTTGAGTTCTAGAATCTGAAGTCCTCAGTTTAAAAATGCAAGTGGCAGAGTTTACAGTATCTGAATAGACACTTACCTTCAGGAAGTTCTGTCTCACTTAGTGGGTGGCTCTAAAGGGAGAAATTTTCTGCCTCCCTCTCCTTTCTTCTTGCTTGAATCCAGAATCACTCTCACTATTTTAACTGAAATATTGGCCCCTCTGGAGGTATCAAGCCCTGTCATTAAATTCCTTAGGGCTGAATCTAGGATTTTACCCCTCGATAATCTTGCCTGTAGTATTTAGGAAAACCTCCAGATCTGACAAAATACTAAAGCCTTGATTTAGAAAAACATCTTACACACGTTTGGGTGCGTAGGCAAGTAGAGTGTGACATTCCAAACTGGGATTTCAATTCATAACTTGCATCAAACAACATTTGTTGAGAAAAGTTACTGATTTTCATAAGTTAAGATATAGTTGTTGAAGCTTTTAAATTCAACTTCTCAGAAGGATTGGCTGACAAGTAATGGCTAGGTTATTCTTATGCATCATAAAATATGTTTTGTAAATTATGTTGTGATATAAAATCAGATACCTTTTTAATGTTCTAGCATCTAAAATACCCATTTCCTTATTTATTCCTATATTTCCTTATCATATTAGCAACTAAAGATATATATTCATGCTGCAAATTATCAATTCTTGTCTTAGTTAATTCTTTTGTATTTGATACTGTCAAAAGAACATGAAAATTCACATGCACAATGATTTGGTTTACTTAATAGTATTTTATCGCTGCGTATGCACTCATAATTAATATACAAAGGAGGCTTTAATTCTGCCTTCACATGCTCCTATGATACCCAGAACCCCCTGGGAATGTGGAATACATAAAGAGCCACAACATACCTGCAACCTGCCAAAGGGCTGTCACGGAGATGGATTCACGTTTCATGCCGCAGTCATTTGTGTGACGGTCTGTGGTGAGGATCTGCATGAAATGTTTGACCACATGGAAAATCCAAATCTCTTGACAGGTCTGTCATTATACATTCTAGAGCAGAACAAAACAGTTTAAAGTTTTACGCTGTTAAATCTATAAAAGGAAATGCACATGATTTGAACCAAATGGGAAACTGGTCTTGCATTGAAACCCCTTTTTGTGTTTTATTCACTGTGGCTCCTTTGAAGAATGCTTGCATTAAATCTTGACTGGAGTCATCTCTGCATTTTAAATACTTTTGAGAAACCATTTTAAAAGAAATCAGGATATTTTTACTTTTTTATTTATTATTTCCTTGCTGACGAGCTTTCACTCAGGCTGACCTTGAGCTATGAACTTCCCTTCCTGTTTCAGGAAACAAAACTGCCTTTGCATGACATATGCTTCAATAGCCCTGGCAAGCCAAAGAGAAAATAATTTCTAGAGCTTGGGCAAATAGTATCTAAACCAAGGGAAACTTTTCCTTGAGTGTTGAAATCATGTCCCACCCAAAATGCAAACTTTGTATGACCTACGTTACTTAAGAAAAGCCATCACAAAGCAAACTAATGTGTGTTCTCACCATCTTTGGGAAATGATTTTAACTTAGCTGGATTTCCTTCTTTAGCTTTCGGTTTTGATGCCATTTCCACACTGCAGCCTTAGACCATATCTAATAGACACTGGCTTTTGAGTAAATTTAAAATTTGGAAAGTATGCTTGTTCTGTTGCCTACTTGACTTTACCAGAAGAGTTCACTTAGTTTTATGACAAGACAAGCCCCTGATATTTCTTCATGCCTCCAAAATCTTTTGCAAGTCAACTTTAAACTATACCCAAGAAAACACGTGCTATTTTATTTCCACAGGTGTCTCCTCCATTGATTAGTTGTAGATTCCCATTGGGCTTTCAGTCCTGTCTAAATTCATGTCAGTTTTAACAGTTCCAAAAGACTTAAAATTCACTTGACTCTCTTCCTTTTCTTTTTCTTTCCTTCCTTATTTGCTTTCACCATTTCAAACTCTCCTACTCATCCATCCACCATCATTTTGGTCCATTGGTTTTGATTTGTCTGACACTGCTCTTCATCAGTGCAGTCGCTGCATGTGTTAACATGGGATACCTGTTATTTTCATTATTTAGTCCCAACCCCTATGTCTCCCTCTTCGAAATCAGTGAGCACACCCAGTGACGCAGGCAGCCAGGACTCGGGAGATCTGGGACCCCTAGGAAGGTAAGGCACAGAGTCGATAACGTTGGACAAGTGTGGGTGGGCTTCTTCACTTCACTCTTACCTCCCCATTTTTACCTTTGCTCCTGTGAATGAGAACATGACGTGTCTAACGGGTACTTTTGTTCCTGCATTTCCCACTGTGTGTCACCATCCAGTGGGACTGGCCTCGGATGTGTGGTAAATAGATGGGTGCAGCGTGGGCATCTTCATCTATGGGTCCCAAACCTCATGGAAGCAATTGCTGGCTTTACACTTTGAAAATGGCCCATGGAAAGCTGTCGTTCTCTCTGGATATACGCTAAAAACAGGGGGAAGTGCCCAGTGGTAGAACCTCTTAGTCCTGTGAGCTTTGTTCACATAACCAGTCCGCTTTGAAGTCCTCCCAGGCTGCCCCAGGTTCTTGTGCAGCTGCTCCTCGTGGTGGTGGCAGGGCAGAGCTTGGACAGAAATGCACCCCGGGACCAACTGGCAATTCTGCCTTGGAAACTGCAGTTATCGGAGTTTCATGCAGAATGGGAGGGAGCTCTCTCCTCCTTGGAAAGGAGCGGTGGGGTGTGTGTAAGGGATGGACCAAGAGCAACCTTCTTGTCTTTGTTCATGTGGTGGAAATAGGAAATGAAGTCGCAGTCAGCAAATAATGCTCACTCTGCAGTAGAAAAGAAAGGAGGATCCTGCTGGTAAAGGACCATATGTTCAAGTAAGAAAAGGTCCAAGCAACTACACTGTATATTTTCAGAAATGTAAAACACGGGTCCTAACAGCTCTTTTTGTATCAAACTGATTCACCATAAAGCTGAGCTGCCAGCTTGTCTAAATCTGCAAGCCAAGACTTTGCTAATGGCTTGAAAACACAGTTAACACTTGCCAGGAGCAGACACCATGCCTCTGCAGACATCAACACTAACGTCACCAGACTTCGTATCACACTAGCCTTCTGCTTAGAAAAATCACACCGGTGTCAGCTGAAAGTGGACTGGGTGCCGTTTCAGCCAGATGCAGACACCGTACACTGCGACGTGCAGGTTGCACAGGTGATGCTGAACTCTGCTCATCCCTCCTCCCAGGTCTACTGTCTAGAAGAAATGGAGATAGTGAAGTAGGAAAGCCCTATCCCGTAAGGTATGGCAGTTCAGAACACAAAAAATAGTGTAATGCTGCGTTCACAAATCAACGCAGTAGGCTTCAGCAAATCAAAGTGCTCTGAGCAGAAGAAAAATTGTTTTTAAGCAAAGTACGGCCTGCTCTTCAGGATAAAGTTATTCCCCACAGTCCTACATATGGCTGGAGACTTCTAAATTCCTAGTTTTCTTCTGAGCATTAATGGTGTAATTTTTTTAACTGTTACAGTAGTAAAATGCCCCTGGAAGTATTTATTTTACCTGGCCTACGTTGGCATTGTGATTCTCTGTCAGCAACAGATCCCCTCTCAGGCTATCGTGCTTTCTTCCCCTTTTCCTCATTCTGCTGCACATTTGGGGTACAACACTAGACTGAGCACAGGCAACAGAGCAGAGCAGATCACTTCCAAAGCTGCTCATGCCCCAATCTTGGAGATCACGGCTCATCTGTTGTCGGTGCTAACACTGCTGCAGAAATAACAAGCTCACACTGGCTGGCAGAAATCCTGTGTGCAGTCTGATTACTCATCGCTGAAGTGTTCTCCAGAGGAAGATATGGTTATTAAAAAAAACCCCAAAACTGTTAAGTCATAAATTTTGGTTCTTTACGGGAGAGAGGTCCCATGGAAAGCTTTGAAGAAAGAACGACATCTTCGTACGAACCCATTTGAGGCAGCAGTTTCTGGTGTAGAACTAGGTTGGGTTCATAATTCTGTGAGGTGTGGGCACTTCTGGTAGTTGTCAGACTTCATCTGTTGGCCCCAATGTCACCAAGTATATCTGAGCTATGTTATGAGTAGCAAGCATCTGTGATTTCTTACAGAACAGTGAAGGTAGGGTATCCAGAAATCCAGGTTTCTGACACTTTTCAGAAAAGACAATTGATAAGTTGGAGAGTTGGGACCACGTTAAGTAGCTGTTATCCTGGAACCACAGACCTCACGCAGTCTTACTTGGCAACGTGAAAACTAATTGGTAACTTGCTCACCGTGTCTAACAGTTATATGGGGAGCAAAAGGGCTCCAGCAGGCAATATGTAATAGCAGCAAAGCGACATTGAAGCTGGATGAATATAAAACCAGAAACACATTGTAAAATTTTAATGGTGAGACAAATTCATCACTAAAGCAATTTACCTAAAGACTCCGTTGGTTCTTCTATCACTGGACATTGCTCATTCAGGGTAATATGCCTGCCCAACAGGCAGATAATAGGTCGAACAATAATTCCTTCAGAACAGTCATGCAGCTTTTTTGTTGCCCAGGAAGAAAAGCTGCATGGTCACAATGGTCCCTTCTGCCAGGCGATTCACAGCCTAGTAGTGCTGCTGTCCTGCAGGACCATTGTCCATTATCTCCTGCACAATAGCTAGAGCAACATTGCTTTTCCCTGATGCCATTAAGCTTATTAGGAGAAGGTGTGGGGTGGACTGTGTAATACCACAAAATTAGGGAACCATTTCTGTCCTGTGCAGCCCAGGTTTCCATGGAGTCTATTTTTGCTGCTTGATCTTTAGTGCCACGTTGCTATTTCTCATAGCCTTTTCTTTAGGGGTCACACTAGGTTTCAGGAGCATTTCAGCTTCACCCTGAGCTGTGACCACAAGAATGAACAGATGTTCTGTGAATAACAGCACTAGAAACTACCGGCAGTTTTCTTTGAACGCTTTTAGCTGGACAGGAGAGCCATTGTTTTTTGTTTTGATGGCCTCAGGGATCAGTTCTGGAAGGATGCACTCCTGTGGCTGGGTAGCTTTCATGTGCTAACATTAGCCTGCGTTGGTATGTATTCTTGTGTCAGCAATGGTGTGACCAGCAGGGGCAGGGAGGGGATTGTCTCCCTGTGCTCGGCACTGGGGAGGCCGCTCCTTGAGTGTTGTGTCCAATTTTGGGCACCTCCATCCAAGAGAGATCTCGAGGGGCTGGAGCGAGGGCAGAGGAGGGCGACGGAGCTGGGGGAGGGCCTGGAGAA